CGGGATTTTTGGTGATGGGAAAAAGGCGAAAATCGGCAATCTCGACTGCGCATTTTCTCCAAATATTTAGAAGAATGTTGGAACTCGAAATTGAACAGAGCTCCTCATCTTTCAAGGGAAGTTATAAACTATCAAAGAAGGCGCAATCAATTTTCTTGCTCTTTGATCTATAATGACTGTCTTGCCGTTTTCGTGGAATACATGCTAAATGGGAGATATTATTGTTTATGAAACTTTCTACTGCGTCCGAAACTGCCTACCTATGTTCTTGCGACGTTACAGGACTTCAAATTAAAGCTCTGCAAGAGCTGCATCAGTGTCAGCCTGATGCGATACAAGGAAGAATTTTTTCAGAAATATCGTTCCATTCAAAACCAGCGGACCATGAACTATTGCCGAATTACTATGGCGAGATTTCTGAACCAGTCCATACGAGGATAAAGCGAGCGATATATGCAACTCTAGGATTCACTTCCCAGTGCGAAAGTGGATGGACTGGACAATACTGCGAGAATCGTATGTGACACAATCACAACTTCGGGCCTCTTTTCTGATAGCTTGAGACCATAAGGACTTCTCTGCAAAGTTTCTAGCTTGAAAACATGGTAGAGAAGCGCTGATTTCCAAAATATTATAGCTATATGTACCACCGGTGGGAAACTTCCTATCAATACCTTCAACTATCAGTTGATCGACCTTTTGAGTCTGCCATCTGGATGCACGGGGAAGTGAGTGTTAAAACAAGTTTCTTGAAGATTCTATGGCTTCACCATGGTTTTTGAGTGTACCGTCCATTTTCCAGGTATTACGTTCCCATCGATAGCACTTCTCCTATGATCAGCGTGGAGGTAAGCGCAGCAGGAGAAGCGTTTGTCAATTTGACGGACTCGAATGGTAAGGCAACATCGAATCCTAACTCCACATATGGACCAATGTTTAAGGGAAGGTCTGGCCAGGTGAGGGCGTTGTAAATAGCGGTTACACGCTCACAAGGTACTTCAACTTACCCGCTGGACCATATCAACTGACTATCGACAACGGTGGCGTGCCAACCAGCAATTGTATCGTTGAAAT